CATTTTAATAATTTAAACCTGTTAATGTCAGCAGGGCCATTATTTTGTTCCTCACCTCTGAGATAATCAATCTTTTGTGTGTATTCTAGAAGTAAGATACAAAAAAAATAATGTTTATGTCTCTGCAAGTTCTCATCAGATGACACTTTCTATTTTTCTTTCCTTAGTTTAAGTGTCACAGACAACAAAGGCAATTATATCTGACATTTTCAGACTGATGTTACCTGTTTGATTTTATGTTCTTTTTTTTTCTTGGGTTTCAAGTAAATAAAAGGAACGTCTTCTATTTGAATGTTGAAGATAATGAAGATGACATTTATAATTACTGGAGTCTTGCTTAATATTAGGCTTAAAGCTCTCTACCTAACCCTTTTCTGACTCTTGCATTATGCTGTCAGCTGAAAGAGTAAGGAGGGCATTTGTTAATGATGTATATTGTATTGATTACGATGACTAGCACCTTCCAAAATGACTGTTTGTGTGGGGGAGGGACAGGGGGTGAAGGAAAGAATGAGAATTTTCTTTCTAACGTCTCGAGCTTTTCTAAAGATGGAACCCGATTAAATACTCATTCAAACAGAAAAAAAATACAACTTGGAACAATGTTTCCTCACGACATCAGCTGCTTTCATTGAATTACTGAAGACTATCATAAAACCATTTAAGACCAAGAAGGAAAAGGGTTCAATAGACTTTGAAAGTATTTTCATCTCCCAAGAATAGGCCCCATTACTCTCTAACATTTGCTTTCTTTTGAGAGTAAAAGCTTTTAAATTCGGGATCATTTGTATTTCCCAACTGATATTTTTCTCTTTCTCATTTCCTTGGGTGACCTTAGCACTGAGGTGATACAAATTTATAACTATACTACAAAACAGCAACAGAAAGAAAAGGATATCACTCACTCAGTTTTAGCCTGTTCATGGGATACTTTGCTGACAGCAGCTCAAATGCATGAAATCAACGAAGCTTACTTGTGAAAGTTGTTGGCAAATATGCAGAGTCTGAAAATTGCTGAACTGGAAATTACCTTCTTCATTAAACATTTCCCTAACACTATGAATGAAAAACAAATGGTGACATTCAAACAGTATGTCCATAGATGGGAGGATGTACAGCCCTAGCTATGAAAATCAAAACCACTGACCTTCTAGTTTTTGTTCTGTTTTGCACACATAAGAAGAAAACAAAACAAGCACAAAGAAACAGATTCAGTCTAGGATATCTCATCATGTGGTCAGTTACTCCACACCTCTCCTGCGCGCGAGCCCCAATACACACGTACCTTTCACAGAAGCACAGACAATTAACTGCTGAGTGAAAAGTTGGTTCCAGCAAGGCTCCTCGGGCCTCCAAGCAGAATCGGAATGTATCTGTACTCCATCCATCAGAAATACCAAACACACAAAACAAGAAAGAGGTAGAAGCCTATGAACGCTCTCTGGTGTTTCACGAGCCCTTGTAGCCGGTGCTGTGAGGTATCGGCGTTAAACTCGACTGACTGTTCCAGGTCTGCTTCAGGTGATGTGCTTCTCCCAATCCCATCACCAGTGCTAATGAGAAAGGACATGAAGCCTATTGGAGGATA